TTCCTTCCTTCCTTCCTTCCTTCCTTCCTTCCTTCCTTCCTTCCTTCCTTCTTTCCTTCTTTCCTTTCTGACTTCACTCAGCTCCACCAAGTTTGGTCTTGTTCTGTTCCTTTTTCAGAGAGTTTTTCCTGTTGCTGGAAGGACAGGTAAAGTTCTCTGATGTAATTTCTTCCCAACATTTCATCACATCAATAAAATGCCTTTTGTCTATTGTATATGTTGTATAATTGCATTTCCTGCCACTTCCCCAGACCTAAAACATGGATATCCCTATCTGTCAGGCAAGCAAACATTATTCTTCTACGATACCCTTCTTGGGAACTACCTCCATGCATAGCTTTTCGGCAGCTCCCAAATCAACCCCATGGTCATGTGATTCCACCACTGTCACTTCTATTTTCAGCATTTGAGGCCATTTATTGCCCATCTCAGCTGAGGTGCACCTGGAGTCTTGCAGCTGGTCTTCCATTCCAAGTATGGAGCTCTGGGAATCTTGGGAGCAGCTAATGCTGTCTTGTTGGCAGGATTTTCATTCTCCTGGACTCTTAGATCCACCTCTTCCCTGTAGAGGGTAAATTGCCACAGCTTCATGCTCTGATTTCACAGTTGTTTTAAACTGATCAGGGATTATATTTATTTAGCATATGGCAAATACATGGACTTATAGTGGTTCAAAAGTAAATTTCCAGTCCACCCAACCATTCAAGGACAGGGTGGTCTATGTTGGGAAAATCAGATGTTAGGCCAGTGCAAGCTCATGATGGACATTTGGACACAACATGATGGATATTTTGTCGAGGGTCACACTGAGTGGTAGAGACAAGACCCCTATTAAACAATGTCCTGGCAGACACTACGTTGGGTACGAATCCTGTTCAGAGTTGACCAATGCTGGCGAGGAAGGTCAAAACCTGGCACCTTTTGTGTAGGGTCATCTATGTAACTGCCTGTACCTAGGCGTTCAGCAGCCCATTTGGCTTTCCGCTGTGTGTTGATGTCAAAGTTGTTGAGCAAGTTCCAGAGAGGGACTTCCTGGATTTAAGCCTTCTAACTGATCAAGGAGATAGAATTGTGGTGGATTTGCAGCTCCCCTTGTCTTTCTCTTAACCCATCTGGTCTTCTTTCATAAGCTTGTTTCCTGATTCATTCCCTATTCATTCTTTTTGTTGGATTAAACCTCCACAACATACTTCTTTTGTAATGGCCAGTCACTACTGTAGTCAATCCAC